TCAACTTCAGATACAACACTCAAAGGGAAAATACCAAGGCTAAAATCTGAATTCAGATATAAAAAACAAGACTTCTAAATCTAGGCACATTAACTCTTATTTATGAAGAGATTTGACTTAATTTAGAAAAAAAAACAAAAATAAAAAGGAGAAGAGAATTTGATTTCAAATTTTAGGAAAGACTTTTAAAGTGAAGGAGGATAAAATCATATTTCAGATTTGAGGAAAAGATTTAAAATTAGGAATGTTAATAGAAATTAGATTTCAGTTTTAGGAATGATTTGCTAGGAAGGAAAATAAGAAAAGAAGGAAAAGAAAGAAAAAAGAAAGGAGGGAAGAGGAAGGAGGGGAGACAAAGGAAGGGGCAGCGACTACCCTTCCTTGAGAACTAAACAAAGGAAAAAGGCATCGAGTCAATTCTCTCAAAAGTTAATAGGCTACAGTGGTTGGATTCTGAAATGACAGCAGAGAAATAAAAGTATGGTAAGATAAATGCCTCGACGGGGTCGAGTTACAATTGGAGCACTACCTCAACTTCAGATACAACACTCAAAGGGAAAATACCAAGGCTAAAATCTGAATTCAGATATAAAAAACAAGACTTCTAAATCTAGGCACATTAACTCTTATTTATGAAGAGATTTGACTTAATTTAGAAAAAAAAACAAAAATAAAAAGGAGAAGAGAATTTGATTTCAAATTTTAGGAAAGACTTTTAAAGTGAAGGAGGATAAAATCATATTTCAGATTTAAGAAAAAGATTTAAAATTTGGAATGTTAATAGAAATTAGATTTCAGTTTTAGGAATGATTTGCTAGGAAGGAAAATAAGAAAAGAAGGAAAAGAAAGAGAAAAGAAAGGAGGGAAGAGGAAGGAGGGGAGATAAAGGAAGGGGCAGCGACTACCCTTCCTTGAGAACCGACTTGTCCTCTTCCGAGCCCCACGTCAGTGTCGCTGCTCCACACTCGAACTGGTAAGTTGCAACCCACACACAACGTACTGTAGCAACGGCTAGGATTTGGGCTCTGATACCTTAAAGAATTAATTGCTCTGAAAACTTTCCCATTTCATTAACACATGGGTTTATATAGAGCCTTACAACATTTACAAATAAATTCTTAAACTTTTTCTATTTATAGATATGACCCTACATTAGATATAAATCTCAACAATTTGTTTATATTTTTGTTTGCTAAAGGTTATTGTATAAAATTTGATCACTAGTTCATAGGCTTTTTTCTTTGAAACACCATCTTAGGGTGATTTCCGGTGCGAGACAGCGGGTGGGCGGGAAGCCACCGGTGCGGAAAAATGGGCCGGAGGATTTTCTTGGGATGGAGAGTTTCGATCCAACTGGATCTACGTCCACGGAAGAGAAATCAATCAAATAGTTCACCAAGGCAAAAGAAATGGAGAATATATAGCTTATACATAGAGATGAGCCCTCATCTTCCTTCTATAACATTCCTCTCAAGCGACACCTTGATACAAGACCTTACAAGACCTCAATAGGCTCTCCTCCTCTCTAGCTCTCTAGCTATTCTCTCCTCCTTCGTGGTAGCTTAAGATCTTTTCCCCTTGCTCTCCTAAGCCTCACACCCTCTCTATTTATAGAAGCAAGAGAGTGGTAGGTGGGAGGTAGGTGGGCGGTAGGTGTGAGGTAGGTGAATGGTAGGTGAGATATTTTTTATTAGGAAGCTAATTAAATTGTGGTGGACTGGATCTCCACATTATCCAACACACCTAAACACTCAAATGGGAGCTAAGTTTGGAAGCGACATAATTCTAAATATGTAATCGAAGTTTAAAGCGTCTTCATCGCCACCAGATACGCAACACGCATATAGAATCAGACAGAAGGCGATACTGAGGCGCTTGTAATGAAGTTTTGCATGCTCGCCACCGGATCCACAACCCCACATACACGAGCGAACATAAGGTGAAACTAAAAGCTTAAATGAAAATATTTGTACACATCTCAATGATAGTATACCAGTGCAAATAACAATAAAACTTCATAAAAATCAGTCAAAATTGACAATTAATAAAATTAAAATACTTACATGTGCTTCGACCCACATGCTAAATGCCTGAACTCAAGGTCCGAGAATGCTGCACGGGTTAAAATGTGTGCTTGAACTCAAAATTAAATGTCTCGAAACAGCATAGCTACTTAAAATCAATTCCAATTAATAAAATTAAAGTACCCGCATGTGCTCACATGCCTCTAAATATTCAAGCTTATGCGTCTGAGAATGTTGCGTAGGCAATGGGTCGTCTCCTGATTCTTCTGGCTCTTCTTGATACTTATTCTTCCTGTCTGGGCAGTTCCTCTTGAAATGACCGTCTTTGTGACAATGATAGCACTTGAAAGATCCCCTTGATGATTGATTCCCGCCATCCTTGCTTAATCTTGATATGTACTGACCATTTCTTGAATCTTTTTTGTCTGATCTTCCTCTGACAATAAGACTATCTCCGCTGACTTCCTTGTCCCTGTCATGCTTCCTCTGAAGTTCTTTGGCTCTAATCAGAGATTGAACCTCCTCTAGAGTAATAGTCTGCAC